TGGCAGGCGCCAGCGGGAGAGTGCCCTGGTGGCTTGGACCAGGGTGGGGACTTTGGATTCGGGGCAAGGTAGATGGAGCCGAGAGGTGTTGGGTGAGGACTGAGGGAGCTGTGACGGAGCAAAGGGGTTCTCCACTGACGCCTGGTGTTCTGGGTGGGTGGCGGTGCCGTCACTGAGTGGTTTTAAAAGGAGTATCAACTCAGATTTGGATGCAATGACCTCATGGTACCTGTGGGATGTCCACTGTGGAGGCATCAGTGCTCAGGAGAGAGATCTCAGCAGGAGATATGGATTTGGGGGTCTTGTAGTCCACAGGAGTGGATGATGTCACCCAAGAGGACACCCAAGAGGGTGGGGAGAGCCAAGCGTGAAGGCAGAGCTGGGAGGGGGGGAGGTGAAAGGAAAGGGAGCCCTTGAAAAAGAGTGAGCTGAAGGGGCCAGAGTGTGGAACACCTGGGCAGAGGGCTCCTGGAAGTCAGCGAAGGAGCTGCTGAAAGAGGGTGAGGGCAGCAGGGGATGTCCTGTGGTCAGGGCAGGCTCCATGCGGGGGGTGAGCCCTGAGGACCAGGACGCTCAGACAGTGATGGGGAGAAAAGGAGCCCGGGCAGCAGGGACCCTAAACTGGGCACAGGGGCGGGCATGTTGGGGGACCTGGGTGGACCCGGTCAGACTGCCATGGCACCTTCTCGTGTGGGAGGACTGGGGGACAAGGCAGGACGGGCAGGGAGGGGCCAGATGGTGGTTGCATCATAAATGCCAGGGGGAGGGTCCGCAGCACGTCTCATGGTATTTCGGTTATTTTCTTCTGGCAAACATGGGGTGTCAGAATAGGAAGAAGGCCACTGGCCTGGCCTGGCTTCTCTGTGTGGGGTAGAGGCTGACCTCTGATCCAGGAAATGGCTCCAACACTCACCCTGGGTGTTGAATGGGGTCTGTGCTCCCTCAGAGGACTGGGGAGAGCAAGGAGGTGATGCTAGCGGGCTCAGGGGCTGTGCCGCGTTCCACTGGACTGTCCCACGTCGGGGGCATGCACGCAGAAGGCTCTGGGAGATGCCAGGTGCGGGGCTGGGGCCAGTTCTGCTGTGTGCTCAGAATCGGGAGGTCTGGCCGGGAGATCGCAGGTGCTCTGGAGAAGGCAGCTCCAAGGAGGGCTGTCTTTACGCCCTATCCCTGTGCGTAGGAGAGACAACCTCTGACCCAAGATCCTGAGGAGTGTTCATCCTGGCCTTGCCCTGGACACTGGAAAATTGGGGGCTCAAAAAGTGGGGACCATGAGCTTCCACCCAGAGAGATCCTAGCCAGCCTGAGTTGGAGGATCAGCTACGGCAGGATGTGGGCAGCATGGCTGTGTTGCTGACCTGGACACTGTGCCCACCAGAACCAGCACTGGGAAGCAGGAGAAGGAGCAAGACCTGTTTGGGCTCCCTTGCTCCCCTCTCATTCATTCATGCATTCATTCATCACCTAGTCATTCCCTACTTACTGCGCATCTACTCTGTGCCGGGGACCGGAGGCATCAGAGATCAGACACACAATAGGTTGTGCTCTTGGGAGGTGCAGAGTGGAGGAAAGGAGACAGTGGGTGGTGGTGTGGGGTGGAGAGAAAGCCCAGAATTAAAATCAGGAGGCCGAGTTCTGGACCTGGGCTCTTCCAGTCCCTTCCTGGTGACTGTAGGCCAACTGGATCTCAGAGTTGGGGTGCTGAGCTATCTGGGAGGGTTTTCTCGCCTTCAGATGCACCCCCCCCTTGTCCTAGGAGTCAGCCTCCCACTGGGGAATTCCAACCAAGGGGGTGAGGAGAGATTTGGGGGAGCAGACTCAGGCCTGTCGTACAGTCAGTCTTGGGCTCAGGTCCTCCTCGTGACAAGGGTGGGCATTGCCTGTCTCAGTGAGCGATGAACTGATGAGTCGTGTGAGCCTGGAGGGGATGTTAGGGGTGTGTGTGTTGCATGCACACGTGTGTGCGCCTGCTGGCTGGACTGTGGCAGCAGGCGTGCCTGTGGGCGTGTCACTGTGTGTGGTGCAGTCTCTGTGTGTGTCTGTGTGTGAGCACATGGGGCAGGACATGTCTTGGAGTATTTCAGTACAGCAGGGTGAAGCTGACTCCTTCCTTCACCAAGGGCAGGGGAATAGGGAGGAATGGACTGGCACATGTTTTCCTTCTTTTGGTCTGGAAAGAGTCCTGAGCCCAGCCTGGGTGGGGGATCCATAGCTGGCTGCACCCTGGAATCACAGTTTGTGGAACTCCCCCCATCCTGTAATGTAACTAGATTAAGTGGCTCAGGGCAGGCAGGAAGTCTCTATAGGGACCCCACCCTGCCGCCTTTCTGCAAGGAAGCCCCTCCTAGTCCCAGCTCCGTCTGCTTTGGCGTCTGACGTGTGAACTTCCTCCTAACAGCTCCAAAGATAGGAGCACCTGCAACTCTGTCAGCAACCCCCGTGGGGAGCAGGGACGAGGATAACGTGGAACCAGGCAGTTTTAGAGCATCTGTTGTTCTTTGGTGTGCATAGCATGGTACTTTAATTGTTTTCTTACACCTTGTTTTCTTCTCTCCGGAATTTACGGTGCAAATGAGAAGTGACCGGGAAAGCCAGGGCAGAGGAGAGAGCAGCGGACAGAGTGTGTGATTTGGGGGAGGGTTGTTTACCCTCCTTCCCGGTTGTCTCTGGCTGATAACCCAGCGGGTCAACATTCCCTGAGTACATGGACATTTGTTTGGCAGCCCCTAGAGCATTTCCCTGCCACGTGTGCGAGGGGCTGGGGGACAAAGATGAATCGGAGCTCACAGTCAAGGGGGTGGGGTGGGGATGCAAAGGTGGAGACACAATGTTTACAGTCAAGGGACGTAGGGAGATAACAGAGAACTTTCCTCTGCTAGGAACAGGGAGCCAGCCTGCCTGGGAAGCTGGGGTGGCCTCAGACACATGACACTTCAGTGGGGCACTGAGGACAGGGAGGTGGCCACAAGAAGTACCTGGCCTGAAAGGGCAGGAGCACGCTGGGATTAAAGCCCTCTGGCAGCTGACCAAACTCTGGCTGAGATGCTGAACTTGAGCCACCCTCACGTGCTGCGAGAGGGACTGTGGGCAACTGTGGGTACCTCTGGCCCTCAGTATCCCCAGGTGGGCCTTGGACCCCTAACCCTCAGTGCACACAGGACCGGTTCAGAAGGATCCTAGACTTGGCCACAAAGAAGCTGGAAGGGAAAGCAGAGTGAGGGCAAAGACAATCCTACAGAATATTCTGTCTCCTCGCCTTTCAGCTGGAGGTTCCATGCCCGGTCCCTGGACTCCCATCCAGTGGCCTCAGGGGCCCCCTCCTCCTCAGCCCTCTAGCAGCTGGCCCAGCCAGTCCCCACTGGCCCCGCCTAAAGATATGTAAACTGGCCTCAGTCCCAGGAAGAGCTAGGGGTCAGGATGGGAAACACCTGATGACAGCCAAGTCACCATTTCCATCCCCATAAGCCTGGGACGCTGAGCCCCACTTTCCCTTTTCCCTTTGAGGGCACGAGGGCAGCAGGGCACAGGGGTGATTCTTCCCAACGGTGGCCAAGTGAGGCGGCCACACCCTGCCATGTGGCTCCACCTCGCAGAGGACAGGGAAAAACCCACCTTGGAGAAAAGATTTCAATCGACTCCTCCACCCTCCAGTCCTCTGTCCCTTTCTTCATTCTCAAGAGTGATTTAAAGGGTAATAAAACAGTTCACATGACACAGCATTTACACTATGGCCAGCACCGTTCTAAGGGCTTTGCATATCATAACATCTGATCCTTATAAAGGTCCTATGATGTGGGAACCATAGTCACCCCCATTTTACAGATGAGGAAGCTGAGGCATGAAGAAGTAAAGTAACTTGCTTGAGGTCACCCAGGTAGTAAGTGGTGTAGTTGGGATTCAAACATAAGTAGTCGGACCTCAGAGTCCTACCCTCTGCTACATTGTCGCTGAGACCCTGACTGCCCCTGTCATGGGGGCAGGAGTGCCACCTCAGAGGGCACGTAGCTGGTGTTCTCTAGACCTCATGCAGGGCATGGAGTCCAGCCGGGAAGACAGATGGTGCACAGATGCTAATACATTTTAGAGCGGCCTTCCTGGGGGGCAGGATTTCCCCAGCCCAGAGGGAACCCCGAGCTATGTAGAGCTA